CAAAATGGCTACAATTAACTGTATTATTATCATAAAATCTCAGATATTTTCTTGCACAATTGGTAATCAAAAATACGAAGTTTGAGCGAGTTTATAATAAATATATGTTCAAAAACGGAATTTAAATTTGGGACATATTTAGCAACCGCACAATCGAATAAAAGTATAATTATGATCAATTTTAAAAGGAATGCAATGAATCTCTGTAGAGAATGGATGTTGTAATAGATTCCTATTGGAATCTTGCATTATAACTTATGTAACATACTTAGGTGTTGGCGATGAATTCCACTTTTTGTTAATCACTCATGAGCGCTTGTTAAATGCCACATATGAGAACAGACAGAATATTATGATTCATAAATTAATTGAAAAATACATCAATATATGCTAAACATTTTCTTTTTTCTTCTTCTCTCACTGGTCAAAATTACAGATTTAGCATTACGATAGTTTTATGGTATACAACTAACTGAAGACAGTTTTTTTGTTATGACAATATAAATATGAACTAGATGTAGTAAATTGCTTGTCATTTTAATATATGGTTGATAGTTTTCTCAATTAATATCAATTTATCTACATGTATTTAATTAACTCATGTTGTCATGTATCTATTATGCATGTCTTGAGAACAATAAGAATTGTGTATTTATTGCAATAACATATTCAAACAAATTGTTTTGAAATTATTTTAGAAGCAGGCTATCAACCAGTATTATCAATTAAGAACGAAATGATTTTTCTTAAAATTTCAAAACCCCGAAGGACCTAGTCTAAGAAAAGTAAACATCGGCGTCCCTCGTATTACTTAGAAATAACCCAGGTAAAATTTGTTCTTAAATTGAGTAAAATGTAAAGAGACAATAAAATTTGGAGAATTTAATATTGATATAAAATCTATTTTAAGCACCTGGTACGACGTTTTACTAGTGAAGTGTACGTTTCCACTTCCTGGTGAATGATTAAGTTGTGCATTTGAACTTAAAGGAGATTAATTTATCAAATGTTGAAGATAACGTTATTGAATTCATTTGTAATCATTTTAGCAATTTTAAGCGCAAATCAATATGTTACTGACAAAAGTTTTTTTTAAAAGAACATTTTAATTCTTTCTGAGAAAGAAAAAGGATGTATATATTTTTATTACTTTAGATAAAAACAGTGGAATTCCATAAATGTATGTTCAATTGACAGCTAACCGTTCCAAAAAATATAATTAAGTATCAAATATGTACTAGCAAGTAAGAGAACTCTTGTTCTGTTTATCTAGTGTTTCTTTATTCTTACCACTTAACCTTCATTAAATCAACCATTGTCTCAAAACCAGGTAGACAGATCCGTAAATTTTACTATAAATAGCGGTGTTGAAAAGTCTTATCGCACATGGGCATATATCACACTTCATGTGCAGCACTTCTTTACGTATTCCTACACATACTCCTATTTTGACAAAAATGAAACATTACGATGGCCAAATAATGCATCAAATATTTGAGCTATTCTTATAAATTGTCCACGAAATCGAAATAAATTGATAATAACTTTCGCGCTTCAATGAGTCCTACTCAACTAAGGTCCGACATTTCCTAATCGATCTATTACTTATAATAGCATACCATCATTTCGCGATATTCTTCATCAAATCAGATATAATGACACTTTGCCTGGAAAACATCCATGTTTTCTGTTTTGGTAACGATGCTTCTTGATGAAGAATCTCATTTTAAATTCATTATTGAATATTTTGCCAAAATAACTGAATAAGTAAAACAATTTTCGCAATCGTCAAAACGCTGTTTTCAACAATTTGAGCATGGACTGAATTCCTTATAAACACTAATATTAAGACATTTTCCACTTTTAATTTTGAAGTATTTATCATGATAACCTTCGTTTTTCATGACAAATCTCAACTGAATTTATTTTCACTGAATATTTCGATACATAAATTGGTTCAGTAGATTTTTTTTCGGACGGCCAAATGCATTTTGTCAACCATAGAAAGTCAGGTCCGCCTTTCAAACTAGGTTGTAGTTTCACTGATATTTATATTTTGTTTCTTGTGTGTCTGGTGAGTGAGAAAGATAATAAATCATTTAGTTAGATATAGAGGATAGAGAAATTCCAACCCTCGGGCAATCTGTTCCATCGGGAGCTCGCCAAGGCTCGTTCCCGATGGAACCGATCACCCTCGGGTTGGTATTTCTGTATCCTCTATCTAACCCAATGATAGATTCTATTAATATAGTATACCCAAAACTTAGATATCACTGAAAGGGACCATTTTTTTAAAAACTTTTATTTAAAATTAATATAACATAATTGTTTTTTGAAAGTAGTGTTTAACCTTTCAATATCTATAGACATTTAAAGACAAGTATTATATATTTCCGAGCTAATAAAATTATCCCTGTGTATGTCAAACATCCCTTTTATTTTTATTGTATCTTTATATTGTATCTTATCGAACCGATTCATCCATATACTGTCCATGACCAAAAATATTACATGGTTTGGCACTAAAAATAAATGTTTGACCATGGTTTCAGTCGTGATTTTTTTTTCAATTCAAAATAGATAAAAGTAACAGTACAATAATAAACAGTGCAACACAAATTTAGAAATTGGTTCCACAAATAAGATATATAAAACTTAAAATTGATTTGATCAATGAAAATGACTCTTGGTTTGAAAGGTTTAAATATATACATCACAAAGCATTTGTTTAATCCAGTCAAATTCAGGAATTGAAGGCAATAAATATATGTATAGAGCAAGCAACATTCGTCGAACTCCTTTAAATGAACCTATTTGTTTTGATACAGGATGTGGATTTCAGTATATTTAACAAAATTTTACAAGACTTTTTCAAATATATGAAACGAATTTTGAAAGCTAATTTTTACAAGAGACCAAATATTATAGCCTTCAATTAGGTTTTAGATATAAAGTCAACAGACAAAGTCGCAAACAGAAAATTGTTTTATGGAATTGTTTAACAAATAAAACAAATATTGTGTTTATTTGAGAGATGTTATTGTATTGATTTTTTTATTGCACATCATATGCAGTCAGCTTTGTCTCTAATTACTGGCTCTATATATTTTTTCAAATTTATAATTTAGCATTCAAATATTTGACACAGTTATTTAAATTAAATCCTGTTAACAAAGGTATCATCACTGTATACTAATATTTTACATGTTACTTCCTGCTAAAGTCATTTTATGCGGATGTAGATCGAAACCATGTGTTTGTTATTTTTCATCAGATTTAGGGGATACAAAATGTATTTCCGAATGTTTTAAATCTTTTCACATTGAATGGCCTTGCATTAATCATATTAGTATCAATCATCATAGTATATGAGTATAACGAGTAAACAGCAAAGTATAGCCAAATAAAATGGGAATGTGATAAACATGTATTGTGTATATTTCACCGATGAACTGATACTCCTCTTTTTAATCAACTCATCAATCAGTATGATTTCTTTCTCCTACATAGAAATGTGATATAATACTTAGTACTTTGATATAATTCAAAAATACAATGACAATGACAAAATTATTTGCTTCATGGCATTGCCAAAATATTAGACACAGTATATTTACAGAGCATAGTTAGTGCATAGCAATTAACAACTTTAACATTGTACAAAATCCTTGATAACGCAGATTAAACGGGAAAGATAAGTGTGTATGTAGGACAAGCTAAAGATTATACGAGTTTCCTCCCATGTATTGACCTCATTAGCAAATGAACACCTTTTAGTCAGTGCCGTATGTCATGTGGTATTATATCTACAATGATGGTGCTTATGCCTCAAAACTTTTATCTGTATTCTTTAAACCTCATTGCATTTTTTAAATGTGTTAAGTGCAAAAAAAAAAGAAATTTGAATTTGAAAGTTTATCATAATTAAATGTATGATATTCAGCGTGGCATTATTACATTGACCTTTAATAGTTTAGCCATTATAAAATTGACATTAAGTTGTAATAATGGAGACAATGTTTAAAAATATAACACTGCTTTAATCGAGGCAAGAAGGATGGGGGGGGGGGAACTGGGACGTCAACGGTAGATTCCGTTTTCTACGGTCGTTTTAAACTTTTTTTTTTTAAAAGAAATCCTTTTTTATTACGTAACAGTAACAATTAACATTTATCAAGTTGTGATTTAATTTATTAGATAAGTAAACCAATAAGAAAAAAGAATGAGGCTGTGCTTCTTTTGTAGCCTTTTCAAGAAAGAATTAGCTCGTTTACGTTAGTCTGTATATTCTCTTATTTAGATAACCCCGCACGTATAGAAAGAGACCCAGATGACCATTTTTAATTTAATGTCAGGAATTTTCATTTTACTCGAAAAGTCACATCTTAAGCATGATAACTCAATATTAATGCATGTTTAGGGACCAAATTGTTCTGAAGTTGGTCTATAGGGAAAAGAATACAGTAATCTGATCTGTTAAAAAGTAGAACAACATGCAAAGACAGGAGAACGTTATCTCAGATTAGATTCTTCAGTGAGCATCTCTTGTGACAAGTGGAGTGGATGGACACTTAACTCGTTATCGCAATATTTGCTATTTAAGTTTAATTTAAACAAACGAGCCACTTAATGTATCTTATACTCAAACCTTTGAACCAGCCTTGTATCAGTGTAGCATCATGTTAAGAGGCAATGAGTCATGTGAGGGTTTCTAAAATAAAATGTATTAAAATATTTATTATATGCAGACATTTATTTAAAAGCGTTATACATTATGTTATCTTAACCAAATCCCCCTCTTTAGATGCTACCAGATGCACAATGGCATATGTACTCTTCTTACATAAACCAAAGTACATTTAGGCTATATTCAAGTAAGGCGAGACGTTTTTGCATAAATCACAGTTTGAATATTTACTTCCAAGGCCTCATTACATCAAATAATATTAGAAAGGAAATTAATATTTCAAACCAGTCTTTATGTACACAAGTTAATTAATATTTGGATTATTATTCACTGGTAGTGTACATGGTAAGAAGTGACTATAAAATAATTTTACTCCTGTAAAATCTTTGCATAGCAAATCAATTTGTAAATAAAGATGTCATAGTCACTTTGAAAATAAATGACAACATTTATGGAATAATTAAAATTAAGACACATATATTGACCCTGTTATCCATAGGAATACGAATATATGCCATATGGGCGTTTTTTGTAAAGTCCAACCGGAAATTTGTCCAGCATTACTTTTTTGCATTTGAATTTGTTTTTTTTTCTTTAACATTATTATTACTCTTTGCCATTGCTTACTAAGCAGCTTCCACAGAATGACTTACCAAATCGTATAACATGATTATCAAGTGACTCTGTGAAACCCAGTTATTTAACGGAAATTTCCCCGCTCTCACAATATTATGGAGGAGCAAAAATCTCCTTTGTAGATCAAAGTGTCTATGACACCTAGAAATTTCCCAAAGTGAAAGCATCAATTCAAGGAGAAGAAAAATATCTCCTCGTGCCAGCTTAACATATAAGCAATTAGGCAGCAACATTATTTGCGCTTCGATAACACAATTAATATTTTTCAACTACTAGTATCATTCATTTAACTGTCTCAAAAGTACGTCTATTGATTCAATTTCAGTACTATCCGACATGCAAGTCAGACTAGTAAGTTCGTTTCATGTGAAAGAATATTAAGGTAAAATGGTATTCAAAGATAAGAGATAATTTAACACTTTGACTTTGAGAATTTTACGACCTCACAAACAATATTTTTTATGATTTCACATGCTAATCTGAAATCATAATAAATGCCATAATGCTGAAATTGATATCGACTTTTATTTTATGCTTTTCAGTGGATTACTGATTTATCCGTGAAAATTATATTTGATAATTTCACAGTGAAAATTATCAAAATATAATTTCACTTTTTTCAATGACGAAACTACTTTTTTAAGATTTTCCCCATGTGGTACCTCAATTTTATTTTTACTGACAATTCTGACAATACCAGGCTGTTAAAAAAATAGCAAAGCTGAAATAGATAAATAACTTAAATGTCAAAAGTAATAAAGAGAGAAAACTTACTTCTATTCCTTCAAATTCCAATCACAAAATTTCGTCTCTTAATTTTTTTTGTTTCGTTTTTACAGTCTGAAAAATACATTCCTTCCCCATGCTAAACTGCTCTTGATGACATTTCGGCATATTAAAGTATCCTACGAGCAATAACTGCCGTATGCTTTATGAAAAATTGAAAAGCATTGACAGCCATCACTCTCAAAATAAGTAAAACAACCCAGCGTTCCTTAGCTGCCTTAGCAAGCTTCCAAGTTTTCCATTTTCCTAGCTCCTTTTCTGAATGTTTTCACTTCTGTCAACACTTATTTTTTGTCTGTTACAATCCTCATATAAGTTTTCTTTCTTTTAAAAAGGTGTATGACTAACAAATCCAAATTATATCCTTCTGAATCTTACACAATTATTTTCCTCCCATAAAATACACAACTTTAAAAGTGGCTGCCGCTTACATTTTACAAAACCAGGTCTAATATAAATTCGCAGTAAGTAACAGAAATATGGATGGATGGTTGGACTTTTTCTCCTACAAGAATTGTTTGTTTTTATTATTAAAACAAGCGATCATTCATATTATTTAATAAAATGAATAAATATTACCGTCATTTAACCTTGATTGGCGGACTTATTTTTCAGCTCAAAACTTCTTGTTTTAAATGAGGAATTCCGTCTAAATGGGGCTCTCAATGGGGGAAACAGATTTTAATATTAACGTTAAAATTATGGAAATTTCGTTTTAACTTGTTTTTAAGCATAAAATAAAAAGAAAATTTGTCTGTTTGTTGTGTAAGATGTAATTTTATTTCATCTCGTGAACTTTAAAAACAGTATTCTCACTCGTGGCTACGCCACTCGTGAGAATACTGTTTTTAAAGCCCACTTGATGAAATAAAATTTCATCTTACACACAAACAAACAAATATCCTCTATATATCACGTTATAAAAAACATGTTTTTTAATTTCTATAATTACTTTTATATACCTAAACAGAAGTAAGTTTCGTGCAAAAACTCAGGTCCCGGTATGAATTTGTCTTTTTTTCATCATTCTCAATTTATTTAGATTAATGTTAAGAACTAGTCTGTTGAAACCCGAATCCAAAACCCCGAAGAGTAGCGAAAAATTATATGTTTGGATCATCAAATTTCAAGTAAAAATGCAGCAGATAAATCACAAAGGTAAAATCATCATTAACCTGGACTACACACTATTTTGCCAAAACAAATTAACCGAATGGAACTTGCTGTGCGGAGTCTTAAATGAAAGACAGTAAAAGTTTTCCCCATTTTCACAGCTTTGCCCTACATTCTCTTTGGTATGACATTAAGTTCATTATGCAAACTGAAAATTGTTTAAATCCACTTTGATATTAACAATTTTTTTATTTTAGGTAGGAAAATTTGCTGGGACTCAACATGGTTCAATACATCTGTTACATTGAGAAATGGGTATGCACCTATATTTTGTCTATATTACACAAATACAATGTTGTATCGTCTAGATATAATTAACAAGTCTTTTAAAACATGTTCAACCTTTTGAACGATAACCGAGGAAATATGTAGAAAAAAAACTTTTTCCAAATCGTACAAACCTATATGACACCTTGAATCAACACTTTAATCCTTTTGATCATTATATATCCTGTAACAAAAAAGTGATTCCATTACTGAAACTTATATATCTATTTTACGAATTATACATTTGGTTTTTCATCTTTTTTATAAAGCATAATAATTAAATGAATAAATAAAATAAAAGTTATATAAATAAAACAAACATTTTTAAAAATATTGTTATACATTTTTAGAAACATCTTATAGAACTTTTCACAAAATATTCAGACTTTAGAACGTGCAACTAGTCGTTGTTTGGGAAAATATATTCTGCATATAATATGTATCTGCTTCTAATGCATTTTCAGGGGCACATTTATAATTCAAGTTCTCTATTTTTTGAAGAACATTCAAGCTATGCAAGGTTTTCAAAACTTGCTTTAAATATATATGAAATAAAACTTTATAATAAAAGTTCTAAATGATACCTTAAAGGGTAATTTTAAAGTGAGTATTAGTTCAAATTTCAATTTTACACTGTCGGCCGACTATTTCCGTGCTAATTAGGGGAAAGAAGCTCTGCGCTGCAAATCGCACTGACTGTGTTTAGTGATAACCTCTTTTAAGCAGGTGAAATACTATAGGAATAACAACAACAATGTCACACATTGTGCCATTTAGAATATTTATATATTGTCAGTATTATTAATTTTATAACTTATAATTCGTCGGCTTGTCTCCACACAGAACTATATTCATGTTATCTTCATTTTTTCAGTGGTATAAAACTTAATTTACAAATAGTCATTGCCCAAATCATGGCCGAATAAGTGTGTAAACAACGCATTTTATTTGTTTGTATATTCCAATATAGCAACTTGCATCAGAAAACATAGATATCATCCTAATAATTGTTGTAAGACAAAAATATTATGATAATCAATTTGACTTTAAATAAAAATCTCCATCGACTTACACAATAATGTTAGAATCGAATTCAATAATTTGAAGAAATAACCCAAACTGCAACCTTATAGGTTTTCTTTATGATATAAGTGAATTGCCTTTTCTAAAAATACATAAAAACAATCAAATGAACTTATAACCTATTTCAGGGGTTTTCTGGTTCATTCCTCGAAAATATATCTAACTTGTTAGAAAATAAGAGTATGTGTTTAATATTATTATCATATTTCAACAAAAAATATATTTGAACACTCTTCTTGTTCATATTAAATTACTTACTATAATGACACCAGAATAACATGTTAAATATATTTCTATGGAGGAACACCATTTAGTAATAAAACTTTCTTTTCAGATCAAATTATGAACACCAACCAGCAAGTGTCTTAAATAAGATTTGCGCTGGCGAATCGATAATTGCTGCAGAGTGTAGAGATGACAAGCTCGAGTCCTTCAGTTTAATACTGAATAGTACAGTTAATCATTACGTAGCAGTATGCAATCAAGTTATTGGGCTTATTTGTCAGCCTTATCCACATATTCTGTACGCAAGTTGTCCAGACTTTGCTATTCGATACGGTTGCCAGTGTCCATCAGTAACATCGACCGTGGGTAAGTTGAAACTATTGTCTCGAAATCGTTGTTTTCACACAATTTTCAGCAACAGTGTAACGTATTAATGAATTCTAACTATACATCATCTGACACAAACAATAGAAATAACAGCAGCAACAAACCAGAAGCTAAAAGGCAGAAAACATACAAATAAATTAACAAACAAACAAACAAACAAACAACAACAACAACAACAAAAATATTATTATTAATAATAATAATAATAATAATAATAATAATAATGATAATTATAATAATAAAAATAATAATAATAGTAGTAATAGAAATAATAATAATAATCATCATAATAAAAACAACAACAACAACAATAATGAATGTTTATGAATTTATGTACACTGTATTTTTTATTAGCCAATGTAGTTCTACATAAGTATGAAATATTTTATTAGACGAATTGGTCTACAAGAATCATTGTATTAAGTAATTTCATATGAGCAAGAAGAGTGTTCAAATATATTTTTTTGTAGAAATTTGATATTGTTATTTAACACATACTCGTATTTTCAAACAATTTAGAAACATTTTTGAGGGATGAACCAGAAATACCCTGAAATAAGCTTTAATTAATATTCATTAAAAGATCATACAACAAACGCTATAAAAATGCGTTATATATCCTCTTTACATTGAAACAAGAATTTTAATAATATAAGACATTATGAACACCACAGATATATCTGAGCCTAATTTGAATCATGATCTTTTTTCAGGAAGTCATCTTCGTCTTGAAGATGCTATAGAGGTCAAGTGTACAGCATCACACTGGAATATATCTGTCAACATGAGTCGCTTGCAGATGAAGTACCATTCAGTCAAACCAGCTGATCTATTTTTAGGCTCGGAGAAATGTCAAGGTCATCTTGATAACTCCTTTTTGCTTTTTCAACAAAGCTTCAACACGTGTTCCACCTCTGAAAAAGTAAGCACATCAACGAAAACTTCAGCACTCTCACTCCATAATCTCCTTCCATTGTTTACAGTGTTATCACGTTTATGTAATATCTGCTACAACTTATTTGATTATATTTATATCATTTGAGAAACAATGAATTTTATGAGAACATATCTTATTATAAATATCCTTTACAACAAAGTAGATATCTCACAGTTTTTTTATTTACCATTTTCACATTTGGTATAAAAAGTTTACAAATAGTTTATAATAAGTTTTGTAACAAAACGGTTTTCTTTATACATACACTTCTATTTCAGTTTAATACTGACATGAATATTTACAAAAACAACCTTTTCTACATTGTATTCGACCCTGTTCGTCCATATGTGGTTCTGAAACACGAGTGGACTTTTAATGTGGAATGTGACGTCAATGCCAATGAAGTAACGTCATCGCACGTGGAACATATTCCGGAAGTACATAATGCCTCGTTTACAAGTCACTACCAATTATCTATGACGTATTTTAGTGACGTTAACTTTTTAAACCGTATTTCCGGAAATCCCCTAAAGGTGGTACTTGGCGAAAATGTATTCGTTAAAGTGTTCACTACATTGCCTGATTGGGATACAAAAATGATACTAGAAACGTGTTTCACGAGGCCATCAGGAACAAACACATCAGCTATGGATGTCACTTTGATAAACCAAGGGTAAGAAATTGAAATATTATGTCTTTTTAAAGTATAAAACAAATTCAGATAGCAGTTCTAGATACAATAGGTATCATAAAGGCCGCCTACAGCAAGTAGTTGAAATTGTTATCTTTTTCAGAATAGGTTTAATCTAAATGTTAAATTGCAGTGGTATCAACAAGAAAAGTAATGCTTAAATGTGTTTGACTTGTACTCTATGGCGCTTAATGATTTGATAATAACGGAAGTAAGGGGACTTATCGACTCCGTCTATATTAACCATTGTTGATTAAACTTTATTTGTAAAACATGTACGCATTTTTAGTGATTTTCTATTTACTTTTTATAGGAACAGCCAATGTTTTTATTATTAGTGGGAAATTTATCTCATATTCTAATAGAATAAATGTATTTGAAATATTTCACAAAATTTATTGAAACATTCACCTTTTCATTCTGGATTTATTAATTAATTGTTTATAGTGCTTTATTCATATATATTTCAGATGTTTGGTAAATTGGTAAAAATCTGCACTCTTTCTGAGAATAAATAAAAAATATTCAACTTTTTAGGTGTATTTTTTTAAATTGGAAGGGGCTTTTTTGGCCACAATCTTTTACAAAAGAAACTCACTTTATTCATTAAATGCATTCTAATATTACTTGGTTTTAGATCGAGAACTCACATCGGTAAACATACTTTATAATAAGCCAATAGTTCTATTTTAGATGCGAAGTTGACAGAAACACACATATCATCTCGCAGTCTACCCATGAGACAAGATTTGTGTACAAAGATTTCAAGTATTTCAATAACAATGGTGGACTTGACATATTCTGTAACGCAACATTCTGTCACACTTCCGACTTTTCCGCACGGTGTACCCAAGCCTGTACACACACAGTCACGTGAAATGGATCAAAATGAAGACGCCATATGAAATGTATATGTCTAAATCTGAAAACTTAAATTACCTTTATTTTTTGACAAAATATATTTCAAAGTTAAAAATGTAGGTAATTTGCAGAATACGACCCCATAAGACGATTTGTTTTCGCTTAGTTTATTGTTAAGTTTTATATAAGAGACCTATGAAACATTCTTTATGACGGTCAAATTACTTTATATGTAAATGTAATGATATACACCGTTGATTTGTGTAGATTTGTTTTTAAATCTTAGTCCTAGGTCATATTTGATCTCAGACCCTGCAGGTATTTGATCTCAGACCCTACAGGTATTTGATCTCAGACCCTACATATATTTTATCTCAGTCTTTGGGGATATATTCAATCTCAGTCTTTGGAGAGATCGCATTAGAGTTATTTTAATCTCCGTCTTTATGGTTATGTTTAATCTCTTTACTTGTACAGCTTTTAGCAATGATAATGAACAAATTATTTTAGCGTTACTTAGATACAATTTTGGATCAACTATAATGTAACTTTCGTTTACACTGTATGTTAAAATATTTACGAATGGAAGAACATCACGCCGATATTTCCTGCATATTGATTCTCTTCTGCTGTTTACAAGCAAACAAGCAAACGTGTAAAAGATGGGGAACATTTGTTTACAACCCATTTCTAGAATATTCAATTAAGCGATAACGTAGGTAAACTAGCTTAGTTCTAAATTTATTTGTTACAAACCATGTTTATAATTTCAACACAAGCATGAAGTATAGGGAAATAGGCTTAGTAATTAACGTACAAGTATAAGCTTACAAACTGTTTCTAGAAATAGAAACATGTATGTATTTTGTATGTATGTATGTATGTATGTATGTATGTATGTATGTATGTATGCATGCATGCATGCATGCATGCATGCATGCATGCATGTATGTATGTATGTATGTATGTATGTATGTATGTATGTATGAAAAGAGTAACATTGAAGTAAGGGTTCATACTGAATAAAAGATTTAAATAGACACCTTGCGGTTTACAGAAGAAAAAAAAAGACAACAGAGTATTGTTGATGGTATATTATCATTTTAGTATAGTCAACAAATAAGTTGAAAGTTAATGACACATTCAACAGTTTAAAAATTGAGCTGCACTACCAACAAACCCAAACGTTTAAAATTTGAATGCCTTGCGGGTTTGCATATTTCAGTTTAAATTTCACATGGAGGAAATGTATAATCTGGTCAATTATTAGTATCACATCCCATCATCTAACTAAACTTCACGACATTCTGTTTAATGCCGATCATCCATTCGACCACGCTCTGAAAGGGGAAATGAAACACACAACTTTGATTCAACTTTTATGATTAGGGGGTAGCGTGAATCAAATGCACAATGTGTAAAAGAGAAGTTTTATTATTCTGAAAAAGAGAGAAAGAAAGAAAAAAAGAGAAAAAAACTCTAAGGTCTAGTTCGAACTTTTGTTGAGTTTATTTTGCATTTGTAAATAAATCATGAATCGAATTGACAATTCAATATACAAAACCAAAAAAAATCCATGTTAATATCTAGTCAAAGTGGTTTCTAATTAATTTGATATATATTTTACCTCATTGAACAAAACTAATCAAAACAAAACAAAATACCAATAAAAAGCGCATTCACCAATCAAACAGACTTAAGTGTAAGAGAAAAAAGAATGTTTAGAATTAATCATAAATAGCACGTTCAAAGTTTTATATTACGCACTCTATCTAAACACTCAAGTACTCTTATACACACCGTATATACTATACAAATAAAGATATCTTAATAAAACAGTAACTTAAGATTCCTGAGTTTATCTTATTTTATGCATTAATCACATTTATGCAACCTTTAATGTTGGCCTAAAAGAAAGTATTTTAAATGAACTTGTTGAAATAGTGGGGTTTGGGTTTTTGTTTATTGCAGCATTAATTGAGATCATGGTCTCTTGTTCTTACCTAGGTAACAGATAAACATCTAAGACATAACAAACTTAGTAAAAAAGATGCACGTGATGTATTAACACTTTTGGTATGAACGGTAAGAGGTTCTGACTAAACATTTTAACCATATACACATTTTACTTTTCAAATATTGCAAACATACACTTAACATTCCATTTTTATAAAATATCTACAACTATGTGAATACCAATATGTTATTAAATGGCATTTTATCGAATCTACCCTTTTTGGGAATTTTAAAGATAAATAAAAATTATTCAACGTTTTTTTTTTTGTTTTTTTAATGGGAGGGGGCCTTTTTTCGGTCTCTATCGTTTACAAAAGAAACTGATTTTATTCACTAAATACATTCTAATATCACTTGGTTTAAGATAAAGATCTCACATAGGTAAACTTACTTTATAATAAGCCAATAGTTCTATTTTGTTGTAGATGCGAAGTTGACAGAAACACACATATCATCTCACAATCTACCCACGAGACAAGATTTGTGTACAAAGATTTCAAGTATTTCAATAACAATGGAGGACTTGATATATTTTGTAACGCAACATTCTGTCACACTTCCGACTTTTCCGCACGGTGTGCCCAAGCCTGTAAACACACAGTATCGTGAAATGGATCAGAGTAAGATCGCCATATGAAATGTGTATTTCTAAATCTAAAAACTTAAATTACTTTACTTTTTGACAAAATATATTTCAAAGTTAAAAATATAAGTAATTTGCAAAAAAGGCTCAGTAAAATGATTTGTTTACGCTTTAATTTATTGTTAAGGTTTATATAAGATACCTATGAAACATTATATATGACGGTCAAATTACTTTACATGTAACTGTACTGATATAAAGATTTTGTGAATATCGTTGATTTGTGTAGATTTGTTTTTAAATATCTCCGTCCTTGCAGGTATTTGATCTCAGACCCTGCAGATATTTGATCTTGGACCTTATAAATATTTGATAGCATACCTTGAATATTTTTATTTCAGACCCGAAGTCCTTGTGGACACATTTGATCTTAGACTTTTGAGAGATCGCATTAGAGTTATTTTAATCTCAATCCTAAGCGTTATATCTCATTTCATTCCTTGTGCAGCTTTTAGCAATGCTAATGAAATTTCTTTATTTATTTCTATATCTATAATACCAATACAAGCATACAGTAATCAAGCTGAGTAATTAACATGCGAGCATTGTTTACAAAAACGTTTCTATAAATGCAAATATAGGCATGAAATAAATAACATTGAGATGCGGTTCATACTGTATAAACATTTCAACTGGACACCTTGCGTTTTGCAGTAGAAAAATAACACAGAGTATTGTTGGTGGTATAATATCTTATTAGTATAAGCATAAATAGAAAACTCATGACACATTCAACAATGTAATAATTAAAGTCGTTATTTCATCATCTTAGAAAAATGAGCTACACTCCAACCAAAACCAAAAGTTTGAATGCCTTGTGGTTTTTGCAAATATCAGTTTAAATTGCATTGGTCAATTGTTAGTATCACATCCTACAATTACATAAACTCTGCGACAGTTATTTTTAATGCCGATCATACATTCGACCACGCTCTGAAAGGGAAATGAAACACACAACTTTGAATCCGCAATTTAAAGATCAGGGGGGTAGCGTGAATCAACTACACAACGAGGGATTGAGTAATATTACAAAGCTGTTTTATAAAGATTGTGTTACTATTTTTATTGTCTTTATTAATATGAAATTATCAGGATTGTTCTGAAAAAAATCATCAAGGTCTATTTCGAACTTGTGTTGAGTTTATTTTGCATTTATAAATAAATCATAAATCGAATTCATGATTAAAAAAATGAATCCATGTTAAAACCAAGAAAAAGTGGTTTCTATTTTTTTCATATTTTACGTCATGGAACAGAACCAATTAAAGCAAAAACAAAATACAAATAGAAATCGCATTTAACCAATCAAACAAATAAAGTACAAAATAAAAAGAATGTAGCGGACAAGTCATAAAAAGCACGTTCGAAGTTTTATATTAAGTACCCTATCTAAACACTCAAGTACTCTTTATGCACACCAGATATACTTAGCAAATAAAGCTTTCTTAATAAAACAGTATCTTAAGATTCCTGAGTTTATCTTATTTTATGCGTTAATCATAATTATGCAACCTTTAATGACCCTCTTTAACACTTTAAATGGACTTTTTAAAAGCATGGATTTTACGACTTTCATAGCTGCATAAATAAAGAAATCGTTTCCTGCGGTCACCATGGTGATGGCTCAAAGTCTGAAAAACATGACGTAGTCGTGGTTTAAAAACGCAGAAAGAGGTTCTGATAAAAACAAACTAAACCAATCCAATTACATTTAAATTTCTTTCATGTCGACCGTTACTTTTGAAAACTTTGGCCAAGGCATGTTGGCATTTTTATATTGTAAACCTTTTGTTTCTATATATATATTGACATTCATAATAATAAGTAATATAGTATGATATAACTAGAGAAAAATACTTAAACATATCAAACATTGCAAACCACTACTTTACACCTTTTTAAAAACTTAAACAAAAATTGGATATCAGTTAATATTTTTTACATGACATGAATTTCAAATTCAAAAAGCGCGCTAATGTTAGCGTTACACTATAGGCGCGTACATTAAAAATGACCCTTGTTAACAGTTTACTGTTCTTATTTCATAAATGTGATAAATAGAATATTATATTCGTGTAGATTCAGTACAACATTTATTGAACTTGTTGAATTAAACAATATTATGCTCACCAGAGGCTCGCATAATATGATTTTATTCAACTCGTAGCCTACACTCATTTAATATCCTCTATTATATTTCACTGAGTGAACACCTGATGTAATATTTTACAAGTGGTGTAGCAATGTGAAAAATATCGTCAAATATATTTGAATGTCTGATTCTTTTGTCTATTTATTATTACTGCCATAAATATTCGTTCCGTTCCTGATTAGCTTTTCAATTGTATTATACTCGATTAATTTATAAGTAATATATGCTAATATTAATTACATGCAAATGTGACATTTGACAATTTATACTTCTTAAAAATAAATAATATAAAATTGGAGTAGCTTTTAGTACGGGCCTCAAAACAGATATTTTGCAAATTAATCAAACAGTGTCACCAATCCTTTAAAAACCCATGCAATTTATGCGAAGATAACAATTTATTTCTATATGCAGAGAGAAAAAATGGGAATATATTTTGGTGTTTTCGTTTTA